TAATTCTTAATTTTGGATTTGTAGTTAAACATCAGAGGACAAGAGGTGTATGGTCTGGGATGGAGAGAGATTTCTGAATGAGTGTTTAAATTTTTGAGATCCTGAAGTTATTTATTTATTTTTTTGTTTAATCTTCTCACTGTGGCAAGCTGTCCCTGCCTGGTGGTACAGGAGGATTTCCACCAGTGTGAAGGCAGGCAAGCATGTCAGGTCATCGATTTCCACATTATTTTTCCCCATAAGTTCATCTTCCCCACATCAATCTGCCTGAGAACTTCATTTACCCCCATGAAGCCTAGAGCAAAAATATGAGTATACTATACAGCAATATGGCATATCGATGGACACAAGGCCTTTAAAAACAATCATGACTACAGACCCATGGCTGTAGCAATTTAAAACTAGATTTCAGTTTGAATAAAAAATGGCTTTCGAGTTTTCCTGGTATTCAATGTGGCTGGGCTTGACTACGAGGAGATTTTTGATGAAATATATAGTGGTCATTTTCCTTTAATAAAGAGAGTTAAATCTGAGTTGCAAACCTTTGGTGAGAATATATGGAGCACAGGTGTGTCTTAAATGGGGACAGCATCCATACCCCTTTCCACCATTTAAGTGAAAGTAACAGGCATAGGGATGTTCATCAGACATCATTTGAGGGAAGGCTAAGGGTTTCAGGCCTTGTCAGCTGCCTGAGCATGGGATGTAGAGCATCCGTCCTTCTAAGGGAACTAAGCAGGTCCTCATGTGCAGAAGGAATGACAACCAAATGACTCCACAGAGCTCTCCCATGATGTGGGAGACTCTGAATTGGTGCTCAGGTGCCGACCTGTGTGACTCTCCTTTTGTCTCACAAGAGCAGCTAAGTGCATAAAGACGTTTTCCCTGGGCTGGGGTTAAAGCTGTGAAGTGCCTTTCCAAAGTCTTCAACTTCTTGGAGCAGTGTTATAGAGAGAAAGGAAAAGAGTGATGCAATTCCAAGAGGCACTGAGTTAGTCAAGTACAGCCACCAACAAATTTGAATTATCTACCCTTTGCTTTTTTGCATTATAATGGGTTCTTTGGTCTCATTACATGCATATTGTTTGTTAATTATTTACAATTTAATAGTAGTAGTCGTAAAGTAAAAACTGGTGTTTTGATAGATGAGCTGTGATCAGAGTCTTGACTTTAGTTATTTGCTCTGTGCAGACATTGATGAGATGAGGTGTTTTCTGCTCTCTTCTTAAAATACAAACCCTAGTGTATTTTAAGAATAGAAATAGAAATCTCACTTCTATTTCAGCACTCATACCAATTTCTAATTATGTTTTTTTATCCAATGGACATGCTCTATCTCTTTGACAAGATGATATTGTCTTAAAGATAAAGTAAAAAGACCTTGAGTAAAATGTGAAAGAAATTCAGCTAGCCTTATCTTCATTTCTCTTAAATTTTTTCCCAACTTCAAAATTTCCCTTTATTTCTAACTTTGTATACTGAACTGATACAGAAGCATGGGCATTAGTAGACTGTGGCAGCCACAAGAATTGTGTTATGGGGACAGTGTATGTATGATAAGAACTGTTGGTATCATAGTTTCATTGGTTTAGTATGGGTCAATAAAGAAGCATAAGAACTTATAAATATATGTGTTTGACATGAAAGACTAGGGGATTATTGGGGGGATCAGTGAAGGAAATGGAAGAGGCGGGGCAGATATTGAGGGGAAAATATGAGCAAGGTACAGTGATATACGTTCATGAAAACATCATAGTGAAATCCGCTATTTTGTACACTAAAATTCATAAAAAATTATCAAATTATTTCCTAAACATGAGAATTTTTCATATTTTTCCACATTGTACATTCAGTCTAAACAGTCAAAAGTTAATATCATCTCTTAAACGTTTATTTTGCAGAGGTCTTTGGATGCTTCAAGCAAATGTGAGACATGTTTATTGGCCTGCAGGACTGGAGTCTATGTTGAGTCCATAATAATGTCTGATTTTGACAGGAATCTTTGTAAGTATTATGCTATTAGGCAGGTGACCCTACTTTATCTGTGGTCTATGATTCTCCTCACTGTCCTTAAAAAAGGAAGGAAAAAACAAACAAAAAAACAACAAGGACAAACAAAAACAGAGAAGTAAAGCTGGGCATGATGGCACACCCATTTAATCCCAGCCCTCAGGAGGCAAAGGGAGACAGACTTCTGTGAGTTCCAGGCCAGCCAGTGCTATACAATAAGACCTTGTCTCAAAGGAAAATTAGAGGAATGATTCTCTTGTCTTCTATAATGGACCGAGTGATGACATCTGGCTTCTAATAAACACCATAATAACATTATAGGGGAAATTGAAGTGGAGGCAATAATAGAATTATCCCTACTACAAGTAAAGAATGACATCGTGAGCTGGAAAGATATTATGCATTTAAGCAATTGCTTTAGATACTTTAAAAATAATTCACGATTTTACTTCTCCCTCCAAATGGTTATGCAACTCACCCCAAAGATTCCACATTTAAGTTTATGTTCAATTTTCTTACAGATTATGTTGTGGCTCAAAATTTGTAAAGATGTTGGATTTGGAAATAATAATTATAACATGTTGACATTAAAAAATAATTCATGATAAATATACTTGGAACATCTATACTATGGAAAGTATAAGTAACCTGGACTCTCGATAAACATGTATTATGTTAAAAGACATAGAAGACAGAACTCCTTTTAAATGCAGTGTCGATATAATATTAATTTTTTTCTTTTAAAAAGCATATCCTTTTATTAATAGTTTTCAAACAAAGCACTCTTTTTCATGTATGAAAGTCTATTTGAATTTTCTTTTCAAAATATTTGTGGTACATATGCATAATTTCAGATTGAGGTTCTTTTAGTCTCCCCTCATTGCTTCTCAGTCAAACTGTGATTGGTCACACTTTTTGTATTGTGTTTTCAATTTTACAGCTGATGACTTCCACTTTTGACAGGATTCTCTGTCTTTGTTCCCTGTGATACTGTCCACTGTAATTTCCCAGCTCTTACTGACAAGGCCATTACCACTGTATAAAGCTTAAAAAAAAAGTTACCCGGATGCAAAACAGCCTCTTGCTCCTTGTAAATGCCTCAAACACTTTCTGAAGCTATTAAGAGACCCCAAGCTATTCTTTAGAGTAAAGAATTCTTTAAAAGGCAGAAAGGTTTTCTCTCATGTCTTTTTAAAACCACAAAAGTATGTAACCCATTTAAATCGCAAACGCTTCCTTGACACCTGTTTTTGATTTGTTCACAGTATTTTCCACTCTGTAGCTCAAATGAAAACTGAAAAATGTTTTGAGCTAAATGAAGGCAATTAAAAAAAATGTCAAGATTTAGAAGACAAGAAAAATCTCTCTAATGAGTGTATCACATATCCCTTTAACTTTGCTTAAGGGGTTTGTGGTTTAGTTGATAATTCTAAATGCTTTGGTATTTGTTCTTGGTGGTTTTTTTTGTTATTTTTGTTATTTTTTTTTTGAGGCAAGGTTTCATTATGCAGTTATGGCTGGTCTAAACTCACAGTGATCTGCCTGCCTTTGCCTACAGAGTGCTGGAACAAAAAGGCATTTGCCACCAAACCTTATCACACTGGTGTTCTTTTAAAAAGATGTGTGGGTTGAGTCAGTTCTAGAGTGTGGAGAGTCAGCACTTCTGGACCCTGCTCTTGAGTGCCCCTGCCTGCAGTGTTCACAGCACCTCAGGAAAGATCAGAGGCCATTGGAGAATATACAATCTGAGGGTTGGTGTTGACTAGACTAGGATGTTGGGAGTTCACATAGTCACCTGAAGAAGTAGTTTTATTTGTATACAGGATTGGAGTTGTTGACGCCATTATCTGTGTAAGGCATGCTCTTAATAATGGTCAGTGATTGATGGATAAGACTGAAAGCTCTACTGAGTTCATACTTCTTCTCCAGCCCCAATAACCTAAATGGGGAACCTCAGACAGCATGAACAGTAGAGAAGGGAATGGCTCTTGGTACATCAGGTAAAGACATCCTCCCTGCAGGTCCTGGTTTCCAGAGTGCGTCTCCTAGCAACTGCATTCCGAGCAAGTCTTTTGTCAAGTTGAGAAGGGAAAATTCAATCTCAATTTATTGCTACTGACAAAATACTCTTAAAGATTTTATAGGTATACCTTTCAAAAGGACATAGTTTATATATGACAGAACTTAATAAAATTCAGAAACATACATCATGCTTGGATTTTGTTCATAAGATTGAGGGAGGTTCTCAGAAGAGGGTACGAGGCCATTTCTTTTTATCTAAGTATATATTACAAATAATAAACCACAAAAGTACTATTCTATTTTCATGTTTCTCACACAAAACAAGGAAATCTGGTGATTGTTATTTCCTATATTCACTATGCTTTGCCCAGACCTCACAGGGAACCTATAAATTAGTATTTTGGTTTATTTATATTTGTCTGCATTAGAATGTAAGCTCTTAAAGGGAACAACCACTGAGTCATTTGTTTTCATCTTTTACCCACATCAGAACTAATATATGATTGTGAGTCTACATTTGTAGGCTCAAAGACTGAAGAGATTATTACCATTTCTCTACCGATCATCCTAGAAATAAATCCAATGAGAGAAAATACATGGTGGTCCCTCACCTTATAGTCAATATACTAATTACTCTTCTCATTTTCCTTCCACCTTTGCTAAATGGTGAAAAAAAAGCCTTTTGAGAAGATGTGTTCCCTTTAAGATAGAAAAATCTTTACTATGAACAGGGTTAATGATTCTTCAAGGAAGACCACACCAAGTAAGTGTCCTGATTATTTTCCTTTGCTGAGCCACCTATCTCTTGCTTTTCCTACTTGTGAAAGTACTGTGTAGACACACGTCTGACCAATGAGTCCAGAAGAAAAGGAACAGTCAGGGAAATAATTAATTGCAAAATCTTCATGTTTTCCACCATTGCTTTTTAATGTCAGACTGGAGCAATGAACATTCTAGCCTCTTCTCACCTTGGCATGTTTTCCCGTTGAGCATGAGTCGATAACCTGGTGGACAGACACACTGGTAGCTTCCGATGGTATTTTTACATTCGTGTTGGCAAGTGTCTCTGTTTTGACATTCATCAATATCTGTTCAGAAAGAAAACAGAATGTATAATCATGCCAAATGTATGCAGAGTCTGTGACAGAGCCATCAATACACGTGGCTGACATAAGATTAGTTTCCTGCTGATTTTACATCCATGCTTTTTAAAAATGCTTAGAGCTGTTATACAAAGTCTGTTTTTAGTGATATAAATATTAAATTTGTTACAAAATGCACCATACTATGTTATACCTTACATGTGCATATATGAGCTGAAGGCTCAACTTTGCCATATTTTATTTTTTGTGTGTTGTTAAATTGCATTAAGATGACAGGGGTGACAGATTTGTGTAAGATCCTAAACCACCAAAGAACTAACCTTGTGCTAAAGTACCCTAGAAATTTATATGGAAGTTTCTTTTGATATTAAATGGAAAAAAGATATCCATTTAAAAAGCATTATTTTATTATTTTTTTGTGTGCATGAGTGTTTTGCCTACATGTGTGTCTGTGTATCATGGCTGTGCACTGCATATCGAGGCCAGAAAGGGTACTGGGTACCCTGGGACAGGAGTTACAAACTATTTTGAACTGCCGTGTGGATCCTGGGAATCAAACCCAGCTCCTTTGGAAGAGCAGCCAGCACCCATAACCATCTCTCCAGCCCCTGTTTTTATTTCATGTAAACTTTAGATGTCAGTCTCTCTGTATCTTCTCCCTACAACTTTTAAACATAGCTTCACATATGCAGATATGTTCAAGTGAAATGTTTCCATATTTGTGAGAAATAGTTCTCAGTCTCCTTATATAATGTCCAAGTGTTAGTGGTGATTACATGTCTATAGCTGTGCTAAGTTAGGTAGCCCCTTTAACGTCTCAAGATCTCAGTCAATTCTTCTGCCAAAAGGTAACATGGAGACCATGTATTTGGCTTCACGGGTTTGTTGGAAGATTCCTACACTGTAGTAAGTGAAAAAACTTTTTATAAACCACAAGGGAGGTGCCAGCTATCATTAAAGTGAAAAAAATCACACAAAATTAAAAGCACAGTGAGAGTAGATGATAATTCTAACTCAACATTTGTTTTTGTATTCCAGTTGCGATTTGTTTGGTGGATCATCTCTCTCATGGTCCCTGAGTGTCCACTACCCAATGCAACACTGAAGAATATGGCAGGAGGTAGGAACAGGAGTGCAGAAGGATAGGAATAAAGAGAAGACAAAGTGAGGCCTGGGAGATGTCTCAGAGCAAATGGATCTGTTCTTGCTGTGGGCTTTGTACATGCTGAAAATGTAATTGTGATGATTCAGAATCTGTTAATGATCCATATCCAGCAAATAGTCACTTTCCATGTTTGTGCATAATTTTAGCCAACCAAAGTATTCATTTCATAATTTGAGTGAGCTATTTTTGTCTTTCCTCTTTAAATATTTGCTTTAATCTAAAACAACAACAGAAATTCAATGGTTTTGAACTGGAAGTCGTTAACATGGAGCTTCACAACATATGAATTTTAAAATGGCCAAGTGTGACTTCTGCTTTCAGAACTGAAGCAAAGTTCATTATTTCTGTTACGCCCTGGGAACAATTCTTTAAAAGCTAAATTTTGCTCAAATATCACAAGATTCCACAGAGTCAACTTAATCTTCTGTAACTTGTCGATCCCAGATGGTTAATTAAAGGCTCTGTGTTTGTTGTAAGTTGCTTTTGTTAGATGATTCCAGAGCTGTCTGCAACCTCAGTGTGAATATCTTTATTAGCCCCAATAAAATGTCCACGATATTTTAAGAAATATCAAATCCTCCTCATGGTCTCCCCATGAGGAGTTATAAAAGCTAACTTTAGATTTTTCATGACTGATATATTTACTCTAGAATAGTTTTGAACAATGTATGCTTATCAAAGGAAGATAATTTTGATGTACATGATATTAGTGTAATACAAACACCAAAAAAGAAAAACTTCATTAGACTCAGCATAATTTAGCTATAGGCAGTGATGGAAAGGAGGGAATTGGGTTACTAGACTCTATATGATGGAGCTTCAGCTATAGGCAATGAAGGAAAGAAGGGAGTTAGATTGTTAGTATGAGAACCTTTCTGTGGTTTGCCTTCAGATGTTAGAGCATGGCAATCAAGTGATGCATGATGTGAAGGTGTGGTTTAATTCATTTACAGCATAGGCATGAGCAGTGACTTTGAGGAAAGAGAATAAAAATAAAAGAGAAAAAGAGAGTTTGTCCAAAATGAAGACAAAAATGGCGGGCTAGAGTCTCAGTAAGAATAACTGTTCAGAAGACACTCTGAAAGATAATGTGTCACTAAATGAAGAGTGAAAAGTTTGGCTAGTGAAGAGTATGATCAAAACTGTAGGCATAGAGAGCTGCCAAACACCCAGAATTATGTGGGATGCAGAGAATTAGTAGCTGGGTGGTGTCTGTCCACATGGACCAAATAAATGTAGGGCATTGTTAATAAATGCATTAAAGTTTGAAGCATATGTCACAGTTCTGGAAAGCTCACCGCTGAATAAAATTCATATAACCATAACAATACATTTTATGTACACCAGGATAACTAGAAACAAAAACATTGGAAAAATACAAATGCAATAACAGAGTATGAAGCTCAGATTTTCAGAGGGTCTGGAGGACATAGCTAAACCCAGCCCAGGCAATAGGAGAATCTGGGTCCACCTAAAGTTGACCAGGTAAACATGTCAGAAAAGATAATGAGATGGAGAAAAATAGAAAAAGAAATGAAAAAAAAAAACCAAGTCAGAAGGAGAAGAAACCTTAAAACATTAAAAAGTTTAAACAGAAAGTGCATGTGGCTAGGGATAAGCAATGTGTAGAACACATAAAGAGAGCTGTAAGGATGAGACAGTCTAACGGTCTTCCGAGAAAGCTGTAAGGATGAGATAGTCTAACGGTCTTCCAAGAAAGCTGTAAGGATGAGACAGTCTAACGGTTTTCCAAGAGCGCTGCAAGGATGAATGCTCTGGTCTAACGGTCTTTGAATTTTAACAGGATTTCTTCCTTGCCTCCTCCTTTTCCTGTTTGCTTTCTTTTGCAATCTAACAAAATAGTGGGGCTAACTGCTACTTGCTAATCCTTCTTGAGGTCTAGCTCATTGACACACAAACTGTAGATACCTACTGAAACTCAAGTTAAATATACGGCAGATGGTAATATTTACAACTTAGCTAAAAATAAGGTCTCATTTTTGTTACAGGGAAATTACAGTTAATTTTTGTAAAATTAAGTTACTGGCTTGTGAGCTTAGATAAGGATACTAAGCCACATATTTTGGAGCACTGTAAACAACTCTTGCTCTGCCTCACATTATCTTTCCATTCATAAACATCCAAAGTAATCTAATTAAGGCATTCCATGGTGAGCCTAGTGAAAACAGCCAATAGGATGTTGGTTGTTATGTAGAACATCTGACAGTCACTAAACTCTCACTTCTAAGCCACTGATTTTGCATCAAACAAACCTATGATCCAATAGCTTCAAATTATGTGACAATATGTGCATCTTCCTAAAAACTCACATTATGAACAACACTGACATTTATATCTCTGTAGGAATTTAATTCAGTAACATGTTTCAAGAGGGATCAGAAAGAGAAATTTAATATAACACAAAAGATTATGAGAATGCACACATGCAAATACATCATTTAATTAAATAGAGCTTGTAATCATCTTAAGTTGCCAGAATAAATGTCTAAAAACTTTGAGTCAGTCCAGACTTGAGATCAGATGTAGTTCAGTGCACCAAACACAGGTGCTACAGACATGCTTAGACTCTGGACAAGAAGTGAGCTCACAGAAAGGAAATGCAATATGGCTGACATTTACCTACACACGTTTCATGGTTTGCCTCAGAGCCTTCAGGACAAGTTTTCCTAATAGTCCTTCTATTCCTGGAGAAAGATGCTCTGCTGTTTCTATACTCTGAGTAGGAGCTGAAGATCTGGGAGTGCTGTCTGTAATGGTGTGGAGCTTGATAGTCACTTCTCACAGGGGAGGACCGGGCAAGGTTATAGCTACTGTATTGAGTGCCATAATTCGACAGCCTCTCCAATCCAGCGCAAGATTTCCCATCCCCTAACAAATGTTGTCCTGGTGGACAGATACACTTGAAGCTGCCAGGGGTGTTGGAGCACTGATGTGCACAAGGTTTAGGTACTTGCTCACATTCATTAATATCTGCTCGTGTGCCATGATACATAAAAGAGAGAAAAGAAAGCATATATACACACAAAACCATCAGTCTGTGAAACAAACTAAAGACATCATATTACTCTCAACAATAGTGCCAAGGCTTTAATCACTTAGTTACGAATACTTAGAATCTGTGCCTCTTCCTATGCATTGTTTCAAATGTACACATTTTATTTAAACATCCATACTCTAGCAGGTGGCCAAAGAAGCTAGACACTAGTGCTGGGATTCCATCTTGCCTTTCCTTTACTGTCATAGCTATAAGACCCAGTAGGCTGTTTCAGCCTTGTCCCCTTGACTTCAAAGTAAAACCAAGCTTGGATATGTATCAGTTTGGGCTAAGCTGACATCTTTATATGTAGCATGAAAGACTATCATTTACACATTTAATCTTATTTTAGGCTAGCAATTCAACAATGGATTTCATTATGGAAATATTATAAACCCCACACTCAGCTTTCTGAATTAAACTAGGTAAGGACATGCTAACATGATAACAATGTTTCACCTTCCTTTGAGAGTACAGACACAAAAAGAATGGAATCAAAATTAGTGTAATTTTAATGAAACAAAAATTACTTAAATGTTTCTGTGTATGTCCTAATAAAATGATATATATGTATACATCAAACTTTCTCTTTTTCAAAAAGATTTATTTTGTTGTTAATTTTATACATGTGTATCTTCCATATGTTTGTGGGTGCCCTCAGAGGCCAGAAGAGGTGTAGGCCCCCTGGAGCTGGAGCTGCAGGCATTTGCCAGCTGCTTGATATGGATGCTGGGAACTGAACTTGACTCCTCTAGAAGAGGGGTAAGTGCTCTTAACTGCTGAGCCATCTCTCTAGCCTTTGCTTCTCTTTTGACTAACAGATCCTTCTGATAAATTTCTAGCTTTCCTGACTGGTTGGCACTGTGGGAAGCACTCCTGTGTTTAGGTCTAGTTTTATGAATCTATAAAGATATGTATATTCATTTATTTTCTTATATAAGCGAGATTTGTCTTTCCACACTGATCGAGGCCCTCATAACTGGTTCCCAACCTAGTGGCAAGAGGGCTCATTTCCAAATGAAAATTGCCCCACACCACACCTCTTCTTGTCTTTCCATTACAGTTTGAAGAAAATCTAAGGTCTTTGCTCTAGCATCTGTCTTCTGCCCAGTTGTGCTCCAATAGCCCAGGTCCTATGGCCACCTCTGCGTGTGACCAATGTGAACCCATCTGCAGAGCTGTGACCTATTTTCTCTTTAGAAAATGGACCTTCACATACTGGCTGCCTCTTCACCCCATTCTCAAGTGATGTGCCACTCATTCTTTCCTGCATCACCCTTTCCCTGGTTCTGTTTGATTTTCTTAGATTGTTTACCACAATCTGAAATTGTACTCACATTTATCCTGGAAGTCCCTTTCTCCCCATGAAAGGTAAACACTACGAGGACAGACACCTGCTCTACAGTGTTTAGTGTTAACTTCCCACAACCAAGAACACCACCCAGAACAAATTATGTACTCAGTAAACTCTGCTTGAAATAAAGAAGCAACGAGTATTGATGCCTGGTGTCAAGTCTGGGCTCAGTAGAAACAAGAAGTGTCATATAAAGAATTGTGTCTTGAGTACAGAGAAACCATCTTCATTAGCGCATCCAGTCTTCCTGCAGTTATGACTTTCAGATGTATAGATACTGGCATAACTAAAAGCTTGAAGTTTTTCTGTTTTGAATCACTAATTTTAATTTATTCGTTAAGCCAAGCTCATTTTCCTCCCGGAGACTAAGGGAACAAAGTCATAGAATCGCATTTTACTAAGATAAAAACTCGTCATATTTTTGAGAATTTTGAAACGTTTTTCTTTTTACTTTTGTGTCAACAAATGAAGTTTCTTTGCAACTCATTCTGAAAGTTGAAAAGCCACATGAAAATCAGGGCTCAAAACGAAATTCTTTAATTCATTACTGCGATGGCAGGAAAATATTGGAAAATGTTTAAAAGAAAAATAATAACTTGCTTGAAAACCCATTTAGAAAGCAAAAGTTAAAATGAACATTTAAAACTCTTCAGGGTAATGACCTTTCTTTATGCCAACATCCAATGTTAGATTTGCAACTATTGAGCCAAGTCCTGAACAAATAAGCATCTCACGCCATACATCACTGTAAGGGCTACTCAGGAAATCCAATTACAAGATCAAGACAGACATTTTATGTTGTATAATGTAAGCAATAATATCTAAACAGAAGAATAAAATGATGTGTTGCACACGTCTCCTGTTAATACAATATTTTATAAAGATGATGCTGGCACGAGCATTTGCTATATGCAAAGTCCTATGCTAGAAGCAATATAAAAACAAAACTAATTGAGCTTTTATAGAGGAATTTGATATAAATTGTTTAATAGAAAAACAAGGCAACCAATTTTAAAAATAGATCATGAGAGCCAAAAACATAACAAAACCCCATTATTTAAAAGTCTATATAGCTTTTTACTGCACTTAAATAATCTCATGAGGAATGATTGAATAGCTCAGTTTCTTGATTACACATACACTAATTTTTAAAAAGTACATGGTTACTCTCTCTCTCTCTCTCTCTCTCTCTCTCTCTCTCTCTCTCTGTGTGTGTGTGTGTGTGTGTGTGTGTGTTTCTGCACATGTGAAAGACAGAAAGGGGTGTATAGTGTCTACCTCTATTACTCTCTGTCTTATGATCTGAGAATTTTAAAGCTCATGGTTTTGGGTAGACTGGCTGTCTAGTTAACTCCTGGCATTCACCTGTTTTTGTTTCTCAATACTAAGGTTATAGGCAAACAAGGCCATGTGCAAGTTGGTTTTCTTTTCTTTCTTCTTCATTATAATGTGGGTGCTGGGGATTCAAACTCAGGCTTCCAGGCTTGCACAAGCAAGAGCTCCTACCCACTGAGCCATCTCCCCAGCCCATGGTTATCTTCCTATAGACATTACCCACTATTTGTCTTACTGTATAGTCCATTATGACTCAGATGGGAACAAACAGGCAATTGGAAGAACTGAATGAGATATTTTTAGTTCAGTGGATGGCATTCAGTAGGCACTAAATATTATAGACAATCTAATAATTACCAGTTCACTTCAATTACGTTTGTGTTTTATTATTTTATGCTTAAACTTTCATACTACATATAAATTTATATGAATTTTCTACTGAATAAAATTTATCTATGTAAACATTTATGTCACGTGCATAGAGAAGCAACAAGATAATTCTGAGAATCAAGTTGCCATGGCTATTATATTGGAAGCATACTTTGATATATGCATACTTAGGAAGCACTCAAGAAAATGGCCATAATATTACTTGAAATGCCAATATAAACTGAATTCAATGTGAAGTCTCTGAGGTAGTAACCAGACTTTGTCACAACTTACTTAGCCAACTTATACATCCACTAGGTGGAGCAAGAGAGCATACCCATACATGTCTGGTAGGGCCTGTATTACTCTGGAAGTGTTTTTGTTAACTTACCAATACAGGGTCTTCCAACTCCTTGAGACCGATAACCCCTGGGGCATGCACACCGGTAGCTGCCTCTCGTGTTCTCACATATTTGATTATATCTGCACTGATGGGTCCCATCTTTGCACTCATCAATGTCTACAGACACGGAGACAATAAAAAAAAACCAACACTTCTTCTTCAAACGTCAAGTCATCACACTTTAAAACTCACATTCTGCTGATTGTCAAAGGTTGTGTTTCTCTCTGTATCACTGAGATTATGTTAAATTAGGACTTAGGACTTGGGAGTCAGTAAACCTGGGTCCAACTCTCAGCACTACCCCCCCCCCCCCCGGCTCCGCCCCGGTTTTGGTTTTGCTTCTTCTCTGTACTTCAGTTCCTTTGGCCATCTTATTTGTCCTCAAGGTCAAGTTGTAGACAGATTTGGAGCCATAGTGTGACAAGGCTTCAGGTCCCCTGTTCTGAAGCTGCAGCTGCTAGATGGACACCTCCGCTTCCTCTCTGGGCTGCACTGGGAAGACAGCATGCTCCACGCTTACTCTGACTCTCTGATATATAGCTGTTATAGCAACAGCATTCCCTCAGACTCAATCATGGCTGCTCGTTATCAGTCGGCTTTAAGTTGTTTTTGCAGCTGGGCTGTTCTGAAACCTTCAATTGAAGTCATAGATTTCTCCATTTACATTCTCACTGAGCAGGATTTCTGCTGTCACTTCTTATTCTGATATTTCAGTTCACGTCTTTTCTAATCATCTTAGACCTAATTATAGAGTCACTATTCCTTAAAACAAACTCCTCTTGATGCTATGGAAGGCAATGTTCAGAGTTAGCTGCTATTCCACTTAAGGAAATTAGTTAGCTCTATGCATAGTGTTAGATCTACAAAGTATTTGAAAGGTGATAGTCCAATACTTGCCCCTAGAATTTCTTGGGTATACAAACCCTTCACACACCTCAATTTATCAACAAGTGGTCAGTATTCAATGTCTAGGTAGTTCTTGTGAGTACAGGACTTTCTTGCCTTCTCTTTCCTACCATCGAAAAAGTTAACAGTCCAGTCAAATTTAAATTTAATTCGATCATTTCCATGATGGTTTTGATAGTCTTACATATGATCTTACATATGATCACATGATTGCCCTCTTAGGCACTGCTCAGTTTTATTTGTCTGTTTTATGGTGTTTTTCATTTTTATCTTGTATTATATAGTTCTCCCCCACCTAGTTTTGGTAAGAGAGTAAGCCAAATGAAGTCTTTGTTTTTATTTATTATTATATTTACTTATTGTATGTATGGAGGGCAGTCACATGCTACCACACATGTGGAAGTCAGAGGACAAGTTCTGAGAGTCAGGTCTCTCCTTCCACAATGTGGGTTCCCAGGATTGAATTCAGGTGGTCTGGCTCAGTTACAGGAGTCTATCTGCTAATCCATTTTCCTCAACCCTTGGTTTTTATTAATTGCTGCAGATTTTAGTTCTACCAATTCATGTAGGTTGGTATAAAATAAATCAACAAAGACTAAACTTAGAAGAAATATGTTATTTTATATTCTAAGTTGCAAATCAGTGACATCTGATGATTCTGTAAGCCAGTATGGAATAGATGACAAGGAATAAAGTTGAGGTAAATAGAATTTATTCATTTTCTTCTCCTTGATTTAATATTTAAAGTAATTCTAGAATAATTACATTTTAAAATAAGTGTCTACAAACATATTTTTTCTTGACCTTGTTGAGCAATTCTAAGCAGATATGCTAAATTTCAAGTTACAAATGGCATGAGTTAATACTAATCCATGTAGATATTAAACTTTGTAAAAAATGTATGATGGATGAGAGTGCAAACGGTCACAAGTCTGTGTAATGGGCTTCCATTTCCTTGTATGCCATGAAATTGGGGTTCTGGAGCACAAACATGCCAGGACTTAGTGGAAATGATGGAAAGGGGATTGTTTTTTCTTAAAATCAGTCCACACCATCATCTTAAAAAATAGAAGTCTCCCAGACACCCACAGATATACACTGAACTGAACTCTAGAACTTAGTTGCAGAGAGGGAGAATGAAGATTAAAGGTGTCAGTACCAGGCTGGTGAAACCCACAGAATCAGCTGGCCTGAACAAGGGGGGAACACATCGACCCCAGACTGCTGTCTGGGAGGCCAGCATGGGACTGATCCAGACCCCTGAACATGGATGTCAATGAGGAGGCCTCCGAATTCTAAGGGGTCCCTGGTAGTGGATTAGTATTTTTCCCTGTTGTAAGAAGGGACTTTGAGACCTAATTTGAACTAAAAAAAAAAAAAGAACAGAAGCTTCCCCTAGCTTGTTGCTGTTAAAGAGTTCTCTATCAAAGAAATAGCATGGCACTCACCAACACAGGTCCCATTTTCAGCCTTGGTCATTCCATTTGGACAAAGATCAATGCACTTATAGCCACCACGGGTGTTCTTACAGTGCTGGTCTGGTCTGCACACATTCTGCCTACATTCGTTCACATCTTGATAAGAGAACAAGGGTAAATACAGACAAAGTAAATGATGGATTCCACTTCTCTAGAAGAAAGATTGCTTAAGATTTTTAGGTAATTATAAATCAATATACATGTGTATAGTACAATTGCTGTATATGGTAAAAGTGCTTAAGTCTAACAAGGTATATTAATTTATTTTCCTTTAAATCAGAATGAGAAAGTATTGTTTCATAGGGGTGGTAGTCAGGCTTTTTACTGTTCCTACGAAAAATGTGATATATATGATATAAACTTAATATGTATACATACATACACATTTATATATAAACTTAATGTGTATACTTATATATATGCATATATTCTTACACACATATGAATGTATTTCATATATTATGTTGTAAGACCCTAGTGGTATTACTTTTCAGGCTCGGAGCAGGGCATTTATAAAATACCATTTGATTTTCTTTTTGAACAGATTACAAGCATGGGCATGGCAGGTAGCCTGGATTTAGATAAATTCCAGGACACAGCATGTACATTTACACAACTCATCACTGAAAAATTAGAGGAGTCTGGAGAGATGGCTCAGTGGGTCAGAGTGCTTGCTACACAAGCATATGGATTGGAGGTTGAATATCCAGGACCCATGTAAGAACCTGGGTGTGACTGCATGTGTACCTATAACCTCAGTACTGGAGGAAGGTATAGACAGGAGAATGTCTGGGGCTTGCTGGTTGCCTTGTCTGGCTAAAAAACAGTGGGAATTCCAGTTTCAGTGATAGATGCTGTCTCAAAAGAAGAAGGTAGAGCATGATATGCCCGGTCATTGATGTCCTCCTCTAGACTCTGCCCATGTGCACACATATGTACACTCTCACTCTCTCTCCCCTCACTCTCCCAGAGTTACACTGATGTCATCACTGTGATTTCAAAGCAAGTATCTTACCAATGCATTTTCTGCCTTTGAGTTGATAGCCAGCATCACATCCACAATGGAAACTTCCTATGACATTGAAACAGCGCTGGTGACAGGGGTTGGATTCTTGACATTCATTAACATCTGCCAAATAAAATCAAACTTTCAGTATATGTTGTTAGAAAAGCTGAGTAAATTCATTCCAAGTGTTTAATCATTTCCCAATCTTGATGACCATCGTGTTTAAGACCTCAAACTAACCTGATATAAGAGGCCTTGTAGCCTCTGCTATACAATACAATCAGCTGCTGGATACCGCTTCTTCCTCCAAGACTTCTAAACATAGACATTTATTAATGGTTCAGAACTCTGCTGGTTAAATTCTAGGCTGCTTTAAGTACCATGCAGCTCTCACCTGTTTCTAGAAAGATTTAGCTCAGAGCACAGAGACTAGAATGATAGAAGAAAACAAAACAAAACAAACTAACACAATGCTGGAAGACCTTTTGCAATTGGCTTGGCTTCCCTGCCCTGGCTGCTACTCTCCTGACCAAGTCTGTCACATCGTGTCTCACTTACTAACTTCAGCAGCTCTCCTCTCCTCTTCAGTCACTGTCAAACTCATGCCAACGTGTCCTGGCTCACAGTTTAGAGAGGAGGAGAAGGGAAGGTTTCTGCACGCATCAACACTTTGTACCCTCTCTTCTCTCCCTTCCTCAGTCCCAGAGGGGGAGAGAGAGAGAGAGAGTCCCAGAGAGAGAGAGAGAGAGAGAGAGAGAGAGAGAGAGAGAGAGAGAGAGAGAGCCCTCTCAAAAAAAAGAGAGAGAGAGAGAGAGAGAGAGAGAGACCCCTTTCATAAGAGAAGGTCTTTCTGAGCTTTGCACCTCTGTAGGTTTGAAGTCCCATCTTTCCCTTTAGCCCTAGACATAGCCAAGGCTCTTCATGGTAACACAATCGCTCTCCTAGGTCATATACACCTCAGTCTCCTTTCTTTCCTCTGCTGTTCTAATCCAAATACTTCAAAAGAGCAATTGCCATATTTAGGCTCTTTACTCAGAACTGAGACTGTCAATATCCCTTATTTGGTACCTCTTTCTATTTGAGATCTTGAAAGACACAGTCTGTTAACTTACATAAGCACATGTATATGATCAAATACTTGAAGATATTTGTTTTTGGTGTATGCCCCTCCATTTCTTTTTACATTGCTTGCCGTCAAAGGCAAATGTCATTAACAATCAGAATTGAATAACATGTATCTTCTATGTGCATACCCATATCTCTACTTTTCTTTTCTTTGTTTTCTAATCACATTGTTTTATGCAAGCTATACATGATTTTTTATAGTCTGATATTCTCAATCCTGCACACTGGCTGATGGTGTAGAGGAATCATCCTCTTCCCAGTGTGGTTTGGGATATACTCTTTTTGCCTCTGTGAAACATCCTGGCATAAGCTTTGCTAGTAATTGCCAAAACCTTGGGGTCTTTCAGCAGGTGAAAAATAAAGTATGAAACAGTCATACAGTGGCATATAACTTGGCCCTAAAAGAAGTGTACTATGAAGTTATGCAAAGAGCAATGAAGGACCTTAACTACAAACAAAAGAAGAAAAGCCTGTCTCAAAGGCTATGCACTGAAGAATTCTAGCAATACGACATTCTGGCAACATAACATTCTAGACAAGGATTTACTATGGAGACAGTAAATAAATCAGGGTTGGAGAGGCAGAGATGAACCAACCACTGGGCTCCACACATGTGTACACATATGCTCAGCCAACTGTACACCCATACATATGTAAATACACATACACATATGTGTGCATAGCACATACAGACACACACATGTTATACCTTGACAGCTGAGCCCATCAGAAGTTCTTCGGAAGCCTGCTCCACAGTGGACCACACAGCGATAGGATCCAATGGTGTTGTCACAGTCCTGACCAGCACGACAGGTATGTCCACCCAAAGCACACTCATCAATGTCTACAACAGAAGGAGCCATGGCATTGAGGTGAGTTGAAAAACAATTAACTTAAAAACTTGTTGTGAAGCAGGGACTAGAAACCGTAAGATATTTGAAAACATCAAAGAATAAGAAAGATTGAATTTTTTGGGTGAGTCATTTAAAGTGAGTTAGAAAGGTAACAAATTCACAGCAACATGTTGTGACGTATTCATAAGCTAATCACTGGATTAGACTATTTATAAATAAGGTGTTGTTCTCTCTGAGATCTTCAGTGAGCTATTCCAGGCATCCCTAATTTCCGGGTGCCCCTATAAAGTCAGTGGCTGCTCAGTTTCTCTTTCTGAATTTCTCAATCCAGCGAGGACTTTTCTGTTTGTTGCAAAGCTATGGGCAGAGGAAACTGGTAGGTGAGTGGCCTACCATTTTTTTTCTAGGTAATGTTGTCTTGGTCATTGGATTTATTTTTGAAACTACCTTGACAGGTTCTTCCATCTGCAGCTATGGTGAGGCCTTTGGGGCAGGAACAGTAATAGGCACCTATGGCATTGTGGCAGGCATGGGAGCATGGATTCCCCGCTGCACATTCATCTTCGTCTAAAAGAAGAAACAAAAAGGCCCATCAATGTGCAAAACTCCTGCTTCCTAGCAGCCGTTCAAGTCCATGAAAACAATCATGTCTGGATGCCTAGAAATTGAATCGAATATAACAGAGAACACACTAAGTGACATAAAATGGAATTGCTAAGGGGAAATTAACTTGAGGTCTCAAAGTTATTGCTGATAGTGAATACATATTTAGATTTTATTCTAAAACAAAAATGATAGCTAAAATGCATTTATATTTACTGGAATGTAATGGATCCTTAGCAGTTGCAACTCACTCTCCAAAGCATTCTTTGGAAACAGGATTTTTAAGAAACTATTCTAATTTGCATTGCAGATCTGGAGAACAGAGAGGTTAAGTGAGCACTCATGACCACTAAGGCTGTTACTGCCAGAGCTGAGACTCAGATGTAGTCTAAACACTACCTCTTGCCAGCCCACTACATTTTGCAGGTCAGTGGAAGAGCAGCACCATGCATGACAACTTGCAATCCTCAGCCATTTACTAAGCTGTGACTTCCTGTGAGGGAGTCCCTTGCAAGGGTGCCTGTGGGGCAAAGCTGAATTCACGATTACCTGTGGACCCTCTATCCTAGTCTGTCCCACTACTGAGCAGTTCTGTGGTTAGGCGAGTTTGTGATGGGTCACCCAATAGCTCAAACTCATCGAGCCACTGGAGGGAGATTAATTTTCTCTGTCCACTCCATTCTGTACTTGGTTACCATCTCTGATACACTAGACTGTTGCCAAATTGAAGCCGCATGGGCTTTGTCATCCCACTTAAACTCAAATGTAGCCTACCATTTGATACTAGACAATCTTGATGAGTTTGTTTAGCTTCTCTACATCTCCATTCCTTGGTTATCAAGTGGAACATTTGGAGACAGCTGCGGTGATTCAATATCTAGGGAAATGGCAGCAGCAGTCTATTAAAAATAATTATTAGTTGAGCCAGAGAGATGGCTTGGCAGGTAAAGGTGATTGCTATCAAGTCTGATGAGCCAAGTTGGATCCCCGGAATCACAAAGTGGAGAGAGACATCTGTCTCTTAAAAATTTTCCTTTGACTTTGTCATGAACCACCACATGCCCCTTCCACACTAAATAAATGGATGTAAAGGAAAGATAACCACTGCTGATGCTATTATGAAATGAAAATATTTTATTCACTCCTATACTTACCAGCACAAAAGGGTCCCACTGAGTCTAAGGTGAAGCCAGAGGGACACTGGTTACTTCGATCTCCTACCGAAGAGAGAAAAGCACAATTAACTAGCCTGTTAGAACACTGGCATCCACTTTCATCCCTGAACAACCAGCCTTCCCTGGGAAGATACATCAAAGAAGAAACAAAGAAAACACAGTGCTGAAAACAAGCAAGAATGGAGAACATTTTTTTTTTCAACCAAGAGTTAAATGAACTAGTCCGGAGATTACTGGCAAGCTGACACTGGAAGCATATTTTCCCTTTCTGTAATAACTAAAGAGAACCCGAGGTAACTGTGTGTGCCAGGCACAGCTACAGGTGCATCCTGTTATCCTGACCACTGGTACCCTCTACGAAGGAGGAAGGATGCTGTGTACAAACAACTGAAATTCTTTGTCTTAATGAAAAACCAATGTTATAGGCAAGAACCCCCTTTTTGGAGAGGGGTTTCTCAATTTACAATGTTGATATTTTTGGCTGAAATTCTTGTGCACGACTGGTTTTCCTGTTCTGAGCAGTTAAAGCAAGGGCAACGGGCAGGTTGAACTAGAACCAATTTAAAGTGGATGTTAGGGAAAAGATCATTGAGAGAGTTTCTTTCCCGAGAGCGTTCAAAGCATGAGCAAGGAAATGGGACTAAAATAGCTGGAGAAAAGCATCCGGAGCACGTATTACCTGATGGCTTGCAGTGATTCTTAGCTCTCCCAATGCCGTGACCCATTGTTATTGTGGAAAAATCTTTTTGTACACTGTGAATATGTGTCACTCTGATTGGTTTAATAAAAAGCTGAACAACCAAAACTGAGGCAGGATTTGGGGGGCAGAGAAGACTCTGGGAAGAAGAAGGCGAGTCATGAGGAGACATGGAGGAAGCATGGCGTGTAGGAGATGATGATGAAACAAGCCACGAGATATGTGGTAGCATGTAAATGAATAGAAATGGGTTAATTTAAGTTATAAGAGCTAGTTAGAAAGAATCCTAAGCTTTTGGCCGAGCTTTCATAATTAGTAATCATTAGAAACAAGCCTAACCTATCAGCCAAGCTTTCACAATTAATAATAAGTCTCCATGTGGTTATTTGGGAGCAGGCTGGTAGGACAGAGAAAGACCCACCTACAACCCTTTAATAAAGGTTCCTCATGTTGTGGTGGCTCCCAATCATAACATTATTTTGTTACTACTTTATGACCCTAATTTTGCTACTGTTACAAATTGTAACGTAAATATCTGTGTTTTCCAAAGGTCTTAGGCAAGCCCCGTGAAAGGGTCATTCGACCCCCAAAGGGGTCCTGACCACATGTTGAGAACCACTGGCTTAAAGGTTACTATCTGCTTCATTTCATTCAAACCTCCTGACATCCTTACTGTTGTCATGATGCCTAGTTTTCAGATGAGGCATCTGAGAGTAACAATTTATAAGCTGCTTAAGAACAAAAGCTAGTGTGGGCAGCCTTACAAAGTAAGTCCCTTTGACTTTAAACTGCTGAATTGGTTATTACAGCTTATGTTCAGTCATTCATCTGTTCCTACATTCTTTAAACTTGCCTAGTATGTGTGTAGGCTGTTGGGGTGTACCTGTGGGAAAAAGAAATCATGTCATAGAAAGGTAATTTGTTACTATCACACAGAGGCTTTGCATTTTTGGATATAATTGGGAGAGATATTTGTCACCAGGCAGCATTTGGGAAATGTTGCAGGAGGAGATTCCTTGTATGTTCTCATGATATAGAGGACTGTTAAAATTCAGTGCATGGAGCTGGGTGTGGTGACACTTGCCTACAATCCTAGCACCTGAAAGGATAAGGCAGGAAGACAGTGTGTAAGGCCAGTCCAGGCTACTATAGGGAGTTCCTAGTGGAAAAATTTAAAAAGAAAAGCCCAGTGCATGGGGAAGGACCAGGGACAAGTTTCAATAATTCTGAAATGTGTGGGAAAGCCCTGCCCATTTGTTCTTTGCTCTGAAAGGGTTTGATTTAAAGAGGCTGCAATTATAGAAGCTTTGAAAGTATGGACTACATATTAAACAGAAGCTTTGAATGTATGTACTACAAATCAAACATTAGAAGCTTTGAATGCAAGCATTCAAATTAGAAGATTTCTATGTATGTACTATATATTAAACATTAGAAGTTTCGGATGTATACATATTAAACATTTTCACGTGATTTAAGTATGTAAAGGATTTTCTAGGAATTCAACTATTACGCAAATTTGTATCTTACTGTCCTTCACTTTATTCAGAATGTAACACAGAATTCTTTAAAGTTACTTACCCCCCTTCAAAAAAAAGCACAGGAGGGTTTTTTAGGTCAGTTTAGGTATATGGCTAGTTTTCTTTATCTAAAGATTCACATATTAAAACAAGATACTTTATTATGAGTTATTTTCCTTTATTCACTCTTTTCTTTCCACATGAATGTGTTTGCACACACGTCTGTACCTGAGTGTGTGGAATCCAGATGTTGATACTATGATATCTTTCCTTAACCTCTGCTTACCCACCCTGCTTTTTTGAGACAAGGTCTCTGTCTCTCACTGAACCTCAAACTTGCCAATTTTTCTCCAATAGTTGGCACAGGAGTCTCCAGGATCCTTTTGTCTCTTCTGTGCTAGGCATGTACCAATATGTTTGGCACTGAGGTGGGTTCTCATGATCCAATCTCGAGTTCTTTTGCTTGCATAGACACTCAGATGTCTCCCTAGCCAAATTTTCACTATATTTTAATTTGTATGCTTATATGTATGCATGTGTGTATGTCTGTGTGCCACAGAGGACAACTTGGAGAAATTGGTTCTCCCCTTAACATTTGGATCTTCAGGGTATCAGGTTGGGTGGCAAGTACCATAATCCCCTGAACCATCTCCTCCATCCCCCATTCTTTACATTACAGTAAAAGCAGATTATTTTGAAGTATAGCTGTGATTTTCATCTGAATATAGGAGATGACAACACAAAGTATTTGTTTATGGTTATAATAATGGGTTATAATATAGAAAATTTGAAGTCTAAAGTAAAATTTCCTATTACTTTATCAGTTGGAACAAACTATTTCAGTTTATTGACACATGGTGTTTTTCCTTCTAGTCATATTAATTTCCAAACTTAAAATGCTAAGTATGGCCGGGCGTTGGTGGCACACCCCTTTAATCCCAGCACTCGGGAGGCAGAGGCAGGTGGATCTCTGTAAGTTTGAGGCCAGCCTGGTCTCCAGAGCTAGTGCCAGGATAGGCTCCAAAGCTACACAGAGAAACCCTGTCTCAAAAAACCAAAAAATTTTGCTAATTATGAAAATATTATCCAATACTTGCCCAGCTTTATGAATTAAAAATATCATTTGGCGAGCTGATTAAAAATGTAGATTCTGGATTGATGAGATGACTCATCAGGTAGAGGTGCTTTCTGCTATTCTTGAAGACCTGTACCGGGGCTGCTGGTACAAAGATGTTCACGTGGCTTTAGTCTTGACATTGAACATTTCAGCCTAACATGTAGAAGTGTACATGGGAGAAGAGAAAACTGACTCTTGACCATTTTCCTCTGACCTCGATATGTGTGCTGTGGCATTCATGCTTACACACACACACACACACACACACACACACACACACACACACACACACAGAGTAGATCCTTTGATTTGTTTTAATAATTGTCAAGGAAAAGACAAGTGAATTTCTTTTTAATGGTGTGACCATTTCCATTAATCACCCAGGTGTAGAAAATGCAGGCTTTATCACACTGCACACTGCTTTTCAATCATTATTACACTGCAAATGTTCTCTTCATTTGTGCTAACTTACAACAGCCTCTAGTACATGGCCAACATTCACCAGCTGTTAGGAAAAAGAATGAATTAACTATTTCTTGAAAATTATTTCAATGATTCTTTAAGAGATTCTTAAACATGGCATGGTTTACATATAATTTCTGATCTCTAGAATGTTTATTTGTTATTTTTTATTATAAACAATACTACGTGAAACCTCTTAGAATAGTTATGTTGGGATGTTTCTGGGATTTTGTTAGGACAGATTTTGAACATAAACATTTGTTTAAACAACCAAGCATGCAAGCTTGCCCCCTAGTGGTTACTGAGAAACCGTGGGTACACAATTTGAAATTCACAGAGCACGTCTTTCAAATGTAACTCATACATATGTCATATAATTACACATGCAAGGGCTGCAACGGATTTAAACATCTTTAAATGTGTTTGCCTATATTCTGGGACCCAGATTGTTCAGTAACAATCTCAGATGGTACAAAGATGTTCACGTGGCTTTAGGCTTAGCCTTTAACATTTAAGCCTAACATGGAGAGGTATACATGCCTATTTCAGCAATCACTTTAGTTCTTCCGAGGCATGTCCAACATTTTGGGGCGACAACATGGTTTATTCCTCTCTGTGATCAAGAAAGAGCTTTGCAGTCTGTGCCAAACACGGGTGCTATCTTAACAACCGAGGAGAGATGTGCACACACTGTGGAAACTGCTGAGTGAAATAAGTGAGGGATAAACTGTGTTTGTCATCTGCTATTGCTGTCATGCGGTAGAGGAGAGCTAAGTCTAACACACAGGAAAAGTAAAACATAGGAAACATTCTACCTGGATATGATGATATCTTTATATTAAAAAAGAACAATGGAATTACAAAAAAACAATGAAAATCCCTCAAAATGCCACAGAACTGACAGCCTCAGGGGTTTTGAAGGCTGAGAAGGAATACTGGGGACCAAACACTCCAAACAAGCACACAGCACAGGGCATCACTTCCAGGTATGGGACTGTCTTTAGAAACTGGAGAGCAGTTTAGAAATGATGTATTACAGGGTAGTTTCCATGAATGAGAAATAATAATATTGTAGCTATTTACTCCACAGCTTCTGAAAGCCACATTTACCTAAGGTGACTAGATATTTTTGTTTTGGTTTATTTTTTCCTGGAAAAATGTCACTGCAGTATCACCCCTTTTCTCATAGGAGTCTTGGTGTGGATGATAAATTTTATGGCCACATCAATCTAAGTCCTAAGTGGCTGTTAAAAGATGTCAGTATGAATTCTTTTATTTTTCCCATTTTCTGTGCATTGTATCTCAGCTTGATCCATGCTAGTGGGGCCTTCCTGAGTGACAACATCAATATACTCAATAAAGAGAATAAAGCACTTAAAAGAAAGTGGCTTAAGTTGTGACCTACTTTGCAACATATTTCAGGAATTTAAAATCTTATCAATAAATGCATTATTCAAAAACGGACTTTATCAACTAATGAAAATTATGCAGGTGGATAATACATATTTTGTTATGCCAGGTACTATGATGAGGCATCCTAGTAAAATTAAATGGAACTGAACAATCTTTACACAGGACTTACCTACAACAAAAAACAAAGAATGGAGCACACACATAAAAACCTAACTCTAGCAATGTTAGGTCTGGGCCTTCATAGTACTATTCTGAATAGCTTCAAGGCATCTGTCTTTATCCTTTTAAATGAACAAGATAAGGGGCTGGAAAGATGACTCAGTTATTAAAGAACACTGGCTGCCCTTCCAGAGGACCAGGGTTCAATTCCCAGCACCCACATGGCAGCTCACATCTATCTGCAACTCCAGTTCCAGGGGACCCAACATCTATGGCAAAACACATAATGTATATAAAAACAATAATTAATAGAAGAAAAAAGAAAAAGAAAGAAGAACAAGATGGCAGCACAGATATTTGGATTTTTCTTTGATCATACTACCTTTGGAAATCGAAGCATGGATTTTGAATCCCAATGTCTCTTCTAGTTGGTTGTAGTCAGACTCCACAGAAGATGCATGAAGTGTTTCTACTAAGAAAGGCATTTTCCCCCAGGCCTGATCGTAGAAAATGGTGTGGTTCCATGTGTAGGGGACACTGATGCCATCGACAGTGAAGAGCCGGGTTGAGTAGGCGTAGAGCTGCCCAGGTCCTGTTTGGATATAGTCTTCCGTGTAATCCTAAAGGAAAGGATTTGAGGGTCAAATGGCACCTGGTATTTTTCATGTAGTGTACCATGAGGTGCACTGTGAGGGAGGAGGAAAAGGCTGAGAGATTAACAATGGAATTAGGAACAGCACTGCAATTGCCCAGTAGTGTCCTGGAAACAGCTCCTAGGTTGATTCTTTTCATTACAATCTGGTTTATAATTTATTGTCACACTTTGTAGTTTCACAAGATACTGAAGTTGTCGGCCATGAAGAAAGCAAGTTGTATGAAGACTATTTCTCCACTCTGCAAGCTCCAGAGGGTTTTTTTTCCATTTCTTTCAAGTTAAAAATTTTTTGAAATTAAAATATAATTACATCATTTCCCTTCCTTTTCCTTTCTTCCCCTCTTTATTGATGGCACACAAAAACTTATTATAGGGCTCTAGTCTCTTTTCCAGAAGTAAACTTAACAAGTGGCTTAAATCAGCACAGCAGCTACTCTGGCTCTGATACACTAGGTAATAAAAACACTCAGAGAGATTTAAAAGCTGAGCCCCTGGAGATTTTCAAGCCAAGAGCAGATGGTTATTTACAGCCTTGGCGGGGTAGTAACTGATCTCCAGAGCAAACAGTAAGAACCTAAGACCCCAGGGCTCTGTCTACAGGACTTTCGTGTCTCCTCCTCATTGTCACACTAACAACCATGGAGATCTTGTAACATGTTACCTTCACACTGACTTCAGCAGGCGACTGGAGTTGAAGGATATAGCCATTCACAATGACATCAAGCAGCAAAGCGCCATCAGAATCCAAGCCTCGAGCCACGTGCGTCATCCGCAAGACTTCTCCTGGGAATGACATAGCGTTCATTTCCACAGCAATAATAATAGAGTTATTATTATTATACATATGGTTTGTGGAAGCATGGAGAATGTTGATCTAATATAATAGTGTTACTTCAAATGTGAATAAACGTGTAAGAGCATTAAGTTAGCACAATGATTTCCTGTTAAAAAGTCAGCCTTGTTGAATTGTCTCCCAAAATTCTTTCTATGTGGCAAAAGTATAGCATTTGATTATGCAGAAGATTCCATATTTTAGAGAATCAAGCAATAATCAAGCATTTCTACAAAATTTCTGCATATGATATGGGGCAGGCAACTTCACCAGGGACCAGCAATGCCCACAAGCCTAGCTTCAGCAACTTGGCATCTTTGTAAGTGTACAGATATCAAAGGCCTGCCTGTCCTCTGTGCTGATTAAACACCAGTGAAGGAGAAGCTCCACCCCTCGCCAATCTTCCTCAAAGGTGAATCTCACTGAGACTGGCCAACTCCAAGGAGCTGAAACAGAGCTTTGTATGAACTCTTGTGAACACAGGAAGGGACCCAAAGGGCTAACGCCCAATGATTAGGACAGAAGCTGAGCAGAAAGCATTAGCATGCTCGGCTTTGCTTCCATCTGTTAGGCAGAGAATCGTTATAAGGGAAATAAATGAGTTGACTCATGGTTAAAGACAAGGCTTGAATGAACAACAAGAATGATTTTCCTTTGATATTCATGCTTAAATCCTCTCTAAGGTTTAAAGAAAAAGGCACAGAAAGGAAGATAAAGAAGTCATTGGGCCATAAAGTTGTTATTCTGTTTGATAACACATGGTCTCTTTCAGACCTTGTATTAGTATCCACCGACAGAATGTTTTTTACATTATTTATGCAATGTGCACCAAAAACTTGTAATAACTTTCCGTGGGAGCATGCACCATATTTTTCTTAGTCACCCAACTTTAGAATGATCTATCTGTATCTAATATATGTATCTATATCTTTGTGTCTGTCTGTCTGTATCTATCCAGTGTTCACCTGACACTAACCAGTTGCAAATTCTACTTGGGTTTCTCGTTTGAAGACTGCATTAGTGAGGGTAAAACCATTGACTGCTTCTCCTATTTCTTTTGCTGTTGTCCAGTAAATGGGATTTAGGATAGAAATGATCTTTCTCATTGCTGGACCTAAAAGAAAAAGATAAACAGGGTTATAGAGAAAAATATTTATAGTCAATTATGGTCATAGTACATTACTCACAAGGGTGGATGCTAATGTAGACTAATGCAAGTCAATATGTCTTCGTGCATCTTTTTTTTTTTTAAATAGCATATGCTAGCTGTCCAAATACTGGGCCTCACTATAACATTTTCATATATGAATTAATGTACTTTGATTCTCTCCTTGTCCAGTTCCTTTCTCTTTGGGAAAAGGACAAACAATGTATTACTTCAATGACTTAAGGTTTCATCCTTTAGAACCTTTGGGTGCAAATAGTAAGATAAAGAGTAGCGTATTTCTTTTTTTTTCTTTTCTTTCTTTTTTTTTTTTTTTGGTTTTTCGAGACAGGGTTTCTCTATGTAGCTTTGGAGCCTATCCTGGCACTCGATCTGGAAACTAGTCTGTCCTCAAACTTACAGAGATCTGCCTGCCTCTGCCTCCCGAGTGCTGGGATTAAAGTGTGTGCCACTAACGCCTGGCTGAGTTGTATATGTTTTAAAAAAGAAGTTTATGAGGGTAGGTGAGATGGCTCAGTGGATTGAGGTGCTTGCTGCTAAGCTTCATGTCCTGAGTTCAGTTTCTGGGATCCACATGGTGGGAGGAGAGAACCAATTCCCATAAGCTGCCCTCTCACCTTCATGTATATACATACATACCACGGTACACACATGAATGTGCACACACAAATAACAACTAATTCATTAATTAAATATAATAAATAAGTTTCTCAAAATTTTCATAAAGTGACTCACCAAGACTTCGAAGCACATTGGTAATCTTGGCCTGTATTATTCTTGTATCAGTGCTGGGGCTATCTGTTATTGTGGCATCGAGGAAAGCAATTCCAAACTCAACATCATTAATATTCCCAATAACACTCCCTCTGGCTCGATGGGGTCCACCTATTGGGGGAAGGAAAAAAAAATCATTCCTGGATAAGGAAGCAATTTCATCAACATTACATGAGGGAAAGGAAAGCCAGCACTCAGAGATGCTACAAATCTTTTCTCAGACATCAAAAGAGTCCTAGGGCATCCAAGTTTGAAAGCAAAATTAATAGGCTTTAAAACATTCCACTTTCACATAACACCCATTATCCCCATAAATCTAGTATTCTTCTGATCTGTGAACATCATAGTACTATTTCTTAAGCCAAAGAATACAGTATGTCCATTCTCACAGTCCAAATAAAGCATGTGTTTGTCGATGGTGATGAAACCATGACTACAGTGAGTTTACAGAGAAAGTCTGTGTGGCAGTAAACACTGCATATGTATTATTTAACTCTTTTGAGCCTATCAACCATATTAGAATGCCTTCTTTAATAGCTTTAAATAGACACAGTTTGCAGACTGGGCAAACAAAGTTCAGAGAAATAGTGTAGCTCTACCATCATTGCAGGTCTAGAGGGAGAGGGCTGAGTACATTATCTTCTTGCTTCAAAATGTGTTTTGGAGCGGAGGCATTTATTCACTTAAAATCGATACTTTAAAATTGTTTATGTTTGCCGGACAGTGATGGTGCACGCCTTTAATCCCAGCACTCGGGAGGCAGAGGTAGGCAGATCTCTGTGAGTTGGAGACTAGCCTGGTCTACAAGAGCTAGTTCCAGGACAGCCTCCAAAGCCACAGAGAAACCCTGTCTCGAAAAACCAAAAAAAAAAAAAAATTGTTTATGTTTATTGTGGATAGTGTGCTGTTTCAAAATGTGTGTACATTAAGGGGGAAAGATGAAATGAGCTAATTAGCATATTTGTCACCTCATATACCTATGGTTTTTGTAGTGACAATACTTAAACTCTATTTTCTTTGCATTGAATCCCGTACAATTATGGAGAATGTAGAAAAACAACATGGAAATAGACACAGTAGGACAGAGGTCCCCAGTAGCAAAGGGTGAGGGCAGACTCTCGGAGACATACTGGTCAAAGCTACAAAGTTACAGGGGTGAAATTAATTAATTAAATTAATCAACTGTAGAACTAGCCATTATTGCTAATAATATAAACCTGCGTTCTATCTATTCTTTCCTTCTTTAAAACAGGGAAAGATCTCCCCAACAAAATAACATCTAATTCTTGTTACAGGTCACTGCCAGAATAACGTGGTATATTGTCCAGTCTAGATCACTGTGTGTGTGTGTGTGTGTGTGTGTGTGTGTGTGTGTGTGTATGTGTGTGTATGTGTGTGTACATGTGTTCCTGCACACTCACACATGTGCACGCACATGTATGTATGCATGTATGTGTATGCATGTATCAGTTCCTTTGGAGATGGGGGTCTCAGCAGTTGAGCTATAGCTGTAGCATTCATTGCTGTATATATCTATTAGACAATAATTAACTTGAGAAAAATGAGAAACATAATTTTGACATCATTGTAAAATTCATACCAAACAATTTGATTAAAGTAAAATATGAAAAGTCCCTCATTCCTTGGTCTTAAGCAGGAGAAAGAGAGACTGGTGTGGGGGTGGGGGCAGGGCAAGATTGCTAATTCAATTTTCGGAATAATTGCTGACAAGTGTAGCTTCTATTTTAACTGAATAGCTTGCACCCCAGCACCAAACAGATCTTTCCTCAATCGGGCTATCTGGTAGGGCTCCTTGAAATCTTGTTGGACACTGTGACTCAGGCTGTCCATCTACCTGGATGATGAAACAGGTCATCTGAAGCCAGAGCTGTTCTTTTGCTTCAGAAGGAGTCTCAAAACCCTCCATGACCATTTGTGCATAGATAGAGCATGTTTGCTGAGCAGTTGAGTGGTAGATACTTGGCTTTTTGGTTTGTCTACTTATATTTAAAAACCACTCAACTAAGTCATTCACACTTTGTCAAATGGGGCCTTCATGATTTTTCAGGGACATTTTATTTCTGAAGAAATAAACGTTAAAGCTTTGTAAGGTCCAGTAGTATCTTCCCATCAGCCATATGGAGCTGTCAATGTTGGTCTCCCTGTAATCTTTAGAAATATATCCTCTGAAACAAAGAAGCCCCAAAGGAGCAAACAGAGGGCAAAACTCAGCTGTAAAAACTGTTATGGGGGGACACATTTATTTATGTCTCTCTTTTTCAGAGCTGGCACTATTTATTCATTTGGGGTCCAAATGGTACCTTTCTCTGATTTGCAGGAACTCTACATTTGTGCTAGCACCATGGTCCTGCCAAAGCACAGCTTACTTCCTTACCCGGACATGCCTGCGTATTGCATCTGGAGACCTGGGTGGCATCTCCTGGACAAGAACGGCCACTTTTAGATGGCACCGGATTGTCACATAGCCGCTTCCGCACCCTTTCACCTCCTCCACAAGACACAGAACAGTGGCTCCAACTATGCCACGTTCCCCAACTTCCATCCACTGTGAACAAGAATGAAATGTTCAATATTAATGAATCAGTTTTGAAAGCTTCACTTAGGACACTCCTGATATGCAAGGGACAGGGCTGTAGCAATGATCACTAAGTAAATGCTCCACTCATCCCACAGACTGAAATTAAGACGCTCACCAGGACACATGTCGGTGTTGCACCTCTGGATCTGGGTATCTGGTCCCCCACAGGCTCTTCCTCCATTGGAGGGACGTGGGTTGTCACACGTGCGGTACCTTCGCATCTGCCCTCCGTTGCAAGTCCGGCTGCATGTTCCCCAGCCACTCCAAGGGCTCCAGTTACCATGGGCTACAACATGAAATAATTTGATGTGAAACAGAGCTCTAAAAATGAGGAGTAAAAGAAGCTATGATATCCATCCCCAAATCAAGCAAAACCCTTTAAGAAATAAGCAGAAATACAACAAATCACTACATGGATAACTTTCCAAACAGCAAATTTCCGTTCTAATAGAGATGGGATTCCCTTCAACTGCTCTGCTATTCTATTTATCCCATGAGCTAGAGGTAATATAGGAGACACAGTCTCCATTCTTGGTGAGCAGAGACTAACATTCAGAAAACACTAAACCGAAACAGCACTTTGGCATCCTAAATTAAAGGTCAAAGAACAAGCAATTAAAATACTATAACATTAAGGTTTGGAGCCGTGACAAAGCTTTAAGGAAGTGACACCGACGACTCACTCTTTCCAATACTCACTTGGACAAGGGTCACTATTGCAAAAGTCACTCTGGACATCGCTCCCTTCACATTTGCTTCCTCCATGCTGTGGCACTGGGTCAGAACAGTCCCTGGTTCTCTTCCTGGCACCTCCTCCACAGGATACAGTGCAGGCACTCCAACTGGCCCAACTTGCCCACTTGCCGTCAACTGTGTTAACAGAAAACCATATGTGCTTAGTTACTACCTTAAAATGATCATCTTAAAAAATAATCAAAGATGTTAAGTGCATGCAGCTCTCCCAGAGAACCTGAGTTTGGTTCTCAGCACCCATGTTGGGTGACTCTCAACTGCCTGTGACTGCAGCACATCTGGCCCCTTCTTTGGACTTTTACAGGTAACCACACACGTGGTACACCACACTCACACACACACACACACACACACACACAAATAAAAATAAATTAAAAAATATATAACCAGTCAAACCTTGGCTAGTTTGGGTGAATGGCATTGTTGGATGAGTGGTAGATGTTATTAGTGTGTTAGCTTTACTTGTCTCACCTGGACAGTGTCTCTCATTGCAGACTTGCATCTGGGTTTCTACTCCACTGCAGTAGGCCCCACCAAATGATGGTGGTGGGTTGTTGCAAAGTCTTGTTCTTGTTTGACTGCCTTTTCCACAACTCTTGCTGCATGCACCCCAGGGCTGCCAAACACTCCACACTCCATGAACTACAAACAACAGAAGCAATTTCAAGCCACAGGACCACATTTATTTAAAAAAACGAAATTATGCAAATAAATTAACTCCATAGTTAGTTAAAAAATCCCACAATCTAAAATAACTAAAATTGAACCAAAAGAAATATAACTAATGTGTTCTCCTTTTTGCATGTTTGGTTTTCAGAGGGAATTGTGTTCCTTGACATTCAGAAGGCCAAACGGGTGCCAAAACAAATGCTTACAATTGTTCAAAGGAGGCTATTTTTATTAAAATTAAATTTAACCAAGCAACCATATGTAAACAGAACCTGAGTGTTCAAGCCTTAGCTAATTAAGCATTGGTACTCTTGGGATAGTGGCAGAGACCAGAACCTTCTAATCAAGTCTGTCTAACAGATCAAGATACACTGGACTCAAGACTGTAAGAGTGCATCCCTCAACGTGGCCTGGCTTCCCACTTAGGCATGTTCTTGGATTAGACAACGGGGTGGTTTGTGCAGGTTTAAGTCTTTGAACAGTTTTCTCCATTACATAATGTTCATGAATTAGAAATTCTGAATAACACACTCACCGACTTGCTAAACAACAGAAGCAAAACTGACCAGTAGTTTCCAAGGAGCGCAATTAAAGACTTCCTTTTGGTAGCTAACACATTACAGCATCAGGACTGGAACAGCCCACCACTTCCTACCAGGTGCCTGGGCTGAGAATCAGCGCTGTGGCTTCCCTTATGCAAGAGTCAGTATCAGGCCATCTTTTCCTCAAAGAGCTTTCTAGATACAGGGCTCATAAAATATATTTCTTTGGTCACTAGTTTTACCAAGATACAAACCAAAAGTGGTGTTAAGATTTGGATCTAAGTATTCTCATCATAACTTCTAAGAAACTGCAATATTAAAATCAATCAATGAGATTATCATTTTTCTTATTTTAAAGGAAATATTGAAGTATCTTGCATTTTCTCAAAGTTAATTGAATCTCTTGCTTTGTGGACAGAAGTAAACACAATCTCATGAACTTACAGTGTACCCAACAAGAGTTTGCTCTAAGACAATGTTTGACTAACCCTAAGAAGCTGGGAGGGAGCATTTGAAACAACCATACTGAGACTGTAATGTTCACAGTCTTCACATATTGACTGTATCATTTTAGACATTTTGCAGGCCCAGTGACTTTAATACTGTCTAATTTCTTTTTTAAAAAAGATTTGTTTATTTAGTATGTATACATCGAGATGGCATCAGCTCTCGTTACAGGTGATTGCAAGCCACCATGTGGTTGCTGGGAATTGAATTCAGGACCTCTGAAAGAGCAGTCAGTGCTCTTAGCTGCTGAGCCATCTCTCCAGGCCAATACAGTCTAATTTCAAGGATGTTCAATGCCAAAACACAAACCTCTGGCAACCTAAAGATGAATTATTAACAGAGGCTGGGGTTGACTGGCATTTATTTATGTAATGCCTGTCTTCTTTCCACTCTACAAAAATACAGGTTTGAAACTCCCTTTGAACATGTTTTGACTTTTAATATTTAATTCACAAATAGACCCTAACCAAGATTGACTTTTATGACATAAGATGGAGTAGAATTGAAAACTTAAAGAAGAAAGATGAAGAAAGATAATGTAAACCGGAGAAAGCATACAAAATCATGATGTTTGGAAGATTACAGAAATCTCCTAAGTAGTCAAACCAATTTACAAAGAAAACACAAAAGAGAGAGGAATTGATAAAGAAGAATTTAAAATACAGTAAGTGCATTTGTTGTAATAGGTGGAAGCTCTGTGAAAAGCAGCCTAGCCCTGGGCTAGTAGTAGCCACTCTAGAGAAGACCTGGGGCCTGAGGGTACTCTGCCCTTGTGGGCTGTGCAGTTCAGGGACAGCAGCTTGGCTTCTGTGTATTAAGTTTCAATACTTAGGGTGCATTGAATCTTCTGAAACCAAATCCATGGTATTTTGGGCATAACAAAGATGAATTAATGGTGTATTATAAAACCCCTGAATTATACTTGAGTCATTACACTACCAAATAATGGGTCCGTATTGATATAAGTCAATAAAAATAATAAGCAAAAGTTCTTTGCAATAAAAAGTAATAACAGCTGTACAAGATACAACAGAAAAATCAGTATTTTATGAGAAATATATGAATAACAGATGCAAGAAGTAATCAAGTGGATGCCAGCACTAGTGGGGGAAAGGCTGTTACAATGCTAATCTAGTTATAAAGCATCACCATACATACATACTATACTGGGAAATTGTAGCACCTGCTTGTTTTTGTGGCATCCTACTGCCTCCATGGTTGGCATCTACCCATTAGGGTAGCATCACTAAGCACCATCACATTGAGAAGAGACATGGCTCTCATTCATTGTCTGTCTCAAGGGTACTACTAACAGCATGCCAAACAATAGTTAAATTCAATTGGTTTATAGACCATGGAATAACTAAGGAAAGCCCCCACCCTCCAATAGTAAAGCAATAAAATGGTGGGCAAAATAATAGTAAACAAATCGTTAACAAGCATGGAGAGAAAGGCTGACATTTATTTTAATACAGTTACAAACATTCTTCAGACTTTCATTACATAACTTCCTAAGCTGACAATGGTATGCAAATTCTCTAATTAGGTATTTTTATTTATTTATTTATTGGTATTTATATTTATTTTTGCTTTAAAATAATGTCATTACTTAAGAGACTAAAGCAAACACATGGCTTTTTTTTTTTTTACTTATGTTAAAGACTTCACGGCAGGGGGCTCTGTTTGTCTGCCTGTCTGGTTATATTTTGGGAAGATTATAGGCATGCTTCACCATGCGCAGATCAGTACTTTGTTTTTGAAATACAATAGAAATAAAACCAAGCTTCTGGTAAAGTATCCCAGATCCACGACAATACGCTTGGGGACCACAACAGCCTGGGTTCAAATATTCAATTTCTTTTACTAACTATGCAGCCTTAGTTAGTGAATGAGTTATAAATTCCCATTGTTTTCTAATATTTTTTCTTCATATTCATAGCAAGATGTAGGAAAAACTGCAGTCAGCCTACCCAAGCCGCAGTTGCTCTGCCCAGGCCAGCCCATGTATGTGCTGCAGGCACTTCCTCCCTGAACCAAGCTGCCAAGCCTGCCTCAATGCCCAGAGATGTTGATGGAGAGTCACCTGACTCAGAGACACCAATGAGGAAAGGACAACACAGCAGAGTCAGCCGCCTGAGCTAATGGGACATTGGATGCTGGAATAAAGGCAGGCCTAACTTCCTGATTAAACAAGTCTGCAGCATGCTCTGCTACTCACTGATTCCTAGTGCCTGAGTCGTTGGTGCTGCGTCTTCTTGCTCCCTCCCCCAAGGGGTGTCTGAGCATCCTTACCGGCAACAACAAGATACAATACAAAATTCATTGACTGTCACCTTTCGAGAGATCTTTATCTTTTTTTTTATTTTTCTCTCTCAGTTGAGCTCTTTTGAGTTTATTCAGTATGCTTATCAGTGTTAAAAATTACTCTCTACTTAATAGTCTACTCATATTCAATAGAATATTTCATATTCTATCCAGTCAAGTGCTTAGAAATTCAAATATCTTCAAATGGGAGTACATAATAAACACCATGTACAGACTAGATTGAAGCAATGAGTTCTGACTAGTCCTTATTCTCTTCTACATAGTCTTTCCTAAGAGGTTCACAATAAGAATCTCTTCACCAAGTACCCCTTTGACTACCTACATGAGCATGTCATCCACACTGCCACCAGAGTGCCTGTAGGGGAAGCTGTAGCCACGCCTTCTTAGGGGCTGGCTACAAGAGTACCTGAGGGCTTGTGAGGGCGTGGTCAGAGTGAGTAGGGGGACTGCGTTTTCGGTTTCGGTTTCTCTTTGCTGCTTGCTGTACAGACTACCACCGGCTGGCTGGTTCGCTCTGTAAGTAAGGCTTTTCCCTATTAAATACCCTTATATTTCTACCTGACTCTGTATTGGTAATTTACTACTATAAGTGCCCACCTCCTAGATTTAGTTCAGTTAAGATAAAAACATGTGACAAAATTAAACTCAAACACAGTTATGTCTGAAAAGCTAAAATGAATCTCAGAGAGAGGAAAATTTTCCCTGTGAGGTCTGAGATTATAAGGCCACTGCAAGTCACTAGTTGCCTGTGGTCATTCTGTCCACACATGGGAAGAATTTAATGGAGAATTAAGTCAGAGAGAAGATCAGTGAAGATCAGAGATAAAAACACACCAGTGGAAGCATTGGCCCAAACCTTGCATTCAACTAAACCTTGCATTGAACTATATTCAAAAAGAATTCTCTGTTTATTTGACTCCGTTACTTGAATCTGAAAGAGTCATGAAATATGACACCAGCAACAATAGGAGTAACCAGGCATCTGCTACAGTGCTCATTGGCAAGATGGTAAATAGAAAGCTGCAAGCACACCCCTCGTCATTAGCAACCTTACTGGAAAACATTTAACCCCTCCCAGCTCATTTTCCCACTTGGAAAAGGATGACTAGATGATGGGGTTGTCCTTCTGTATATGTTTCTCTTATTGTTTGATGAATAAAGCACTGTGGCCCATGAGGCAGGAAGACAGGAGTGACTAGGAGATGAAGAGAATTCTGGGAGCTGTAGGTAGAGGTGGAGTCATCATGTGAGCCAGAGAAGAGAAGATGGGAGTCAGGCGTTCTCCAGTAAGATAAGACCATGTAGAAACACATAGATTAGTAATTATGGGTTAGTAATTAAGACAGAGCTAGCCAATAAGAAGCCCTAGCCAGCAGCCAACAGTTTCTTAATTAACATAAGTCTCTGAGGGTTCATTTGGGGCTGACGCGGCTGTGGGACCAAGATGGCAGGAAGAACCATCTGTAACAACTGGATGGCACCTGAAGTCCCCAGAATCCTTCAAATTTATGAGTTAGTATATACTAAGTTTCTGTGCATGATTAAAAATACACCAAGTCAGAACTACTTCCCTGTTTTGTGAAGGGAGATATTTTTTCCTGCAACACAGTCATATCATCACAAGGTTCTTCATGGAGCAGGAAAAGAACACAGACAGCAAGGATATTCCCGAAGCTAGAAGCCATAGTCTCTTTTCACAATGAAGGAAGAAAGGCTCTTAACTCCAGGATAGGAAATAAGGTACATGAGCTTGGCTGGTGGCACTGGTGGGTTCTCACCTGGGCAGGGCCTAATGTTACACATGATGATTTCTATTGCAGGCCCCTCACATGGCCGCCCGCCGTGCTGAGCTGATGGGTTACTGCAGGTTCTGGTCCTGGTTTGGTTGCCATGCCCACAGCTTCTTGTGCATTCTTCCCAGAAACTCCATTCTGACCAGTGGCCATCCACTACAGGAAGGTGAAACCATCACATCATCAGGTAAATTCCCAAAGGCGGGAAGCAGGCATCTGAGTCTATTGAACACTTGCAGAAGTATACCTGGACACAACTTATTTTGACAGTGTCGTGTTTCTGAATCTGAGCCTTGGCATGGTCTCCCACCATTGGCTGGAAGTGGGTTGTTGCACAGTCGGCTCCTCTTTTGGATGCCTTTTCCACAGGTGACACTGCAGGACCTCCAGGCAGACCACAGCGAAAACCCACCATGCACTGCAAATAAAACATTGCATTTTGTCTCAGGTTTACAAGTGAAAACATCGAATTTCATTGAAGTTACATACTGGGTGTAGAGTTGTGTGTGATTGCTGGGGAGCAGCTATAGAAGCTTTCCGTTGGGGGGTAAAGTTAATATCTAGAAATAAGAGAATAACT